AGGATGAAGAGCCGAGGCTCCATGCTGTCAGCCGGGATCAGCCTCTAGATAGAGGCTATGACTTCCTGAGGTTGAAAGATCACATATCAGAGCTGAAGCACTGAACCCCAAAACATTAGATACTACCTCAATTGTGTAATGCAGATTACTCTCAGCATAACCTTCTCTCTGCATATTGCAGAGGTGAATGCAGGACTCCTACTTAGCCCAGCTCACAGTACACACCTACTCCCTGTCAGTCTTAGTCATTCATCTTCAAGTCATTCCTCCTTCATGACTGAATAAAACCCAGGTTTGGCCCTGGGTCGAGGCCTTTGTTCTGGATAGCCACAGCCATGGCAGTACTGAGGACCCCTTGGCTCCCCACAACTCGAAATATATTTGTGTCTTTATTCTTGCTGTGGGTTGCTCTGGAAGTGGTAGATTAAAATTAACTTGATGGGATTCCAATAATTTACTCATGGGATTGCAAATATAAGCTTCCAGGCCTACGATGAGGCCCAGAAAGGGCTCCCTATGGACATAAATCTCAATTGAAGAGCAAAAGCCATGCACTTGAAAAAAGATGTTTCATAATTCAAACTGAAAGTTGATAGACATATATTCAAATTACGTGAAACACATAATACAAAGTTATGTATTTGGGGTGAGTACTATGTGAAAAATAAGAACCTATTGAAAGAAAGTTGAGAAGGGGGAGAGAGCAAGCACAAGGCTACTGTACAGAGCTGTACTGCCTCATACATATCCAGGAGTCAGATGTAGCGACCAGGCACTTAAGTTGTGGCTAGTCCACACTGAGATGTGTAGAAAGTAGACCACACGCACATACCAGATTTCAAAGATTGAGAGAAAAAAAAAAAAAGGAGGAAAGCATTGGGTTAATGATGCTGTTGATTACACATTAAAATAATATATTGATTTAAAGAAAACATAGTTTTAAAAGTTATTTTGCAGATTTCTTTAGACTTTTTAAAGTGTGGCTATTAGGAAATTTAAATTTACATAGATTCCACATTATATTCCTACTGGACAATGCTTAGAAAAAAATCTAAGGTGATTTCTAACATATTTGGTTATTTGTTGAAAATCTTGTTAGATTGCACCCATAAGATTTTATTGCACTTAAAGATTTTCAAATGTGTGGAGAAGTGAGAATATAGAAAGTATAGAGAATGTGAAAGCTATCAGATTGTACCATAGCAATCACCAGATTTAGGAATAATTTGGATGATAAATAGGAGAAAAATACCATTAAGTTTTATTTTTAATTGTATTAGTATTCTATGCAATCTGTGAATAATGATATGCCTATTTTGATTTAGTTCAAACATAGAGCAAGGTTGATCCCTTTTCCATAAGTTTCTTGTAAGACTTACAAGATATTGTTAAGAAATTTGTTTCAAAATAACTAAGAACATGGTGACCCAGGAGAAGTTATAACCAACTTGATAGGCTATAAAAGTAAAACACTTAACCCAGTAGGTAATTGGTAAGTATCCAACAGGTAATTCTCCTTGGTGAATAATAAAATTATTACTGTGTCTTGGTTATTAAGCTATTCACGCTTGACCTCTACATTCATTCATTCACTCACTCACTCACTCTCTTACTCAGCCAAGCACTGTGGTGGGGGTGGTGGTGGTGGTGCTGGAAGGACTCCAGTCAGGACACTCTAAAACTACTTTTTAAGAATGCTGGCAAAATTTGAATATTCAACAGTAATTTTACAAAGCAGAAAACTCAGAAAAGACATGGGAGTGTGTATCAAAATAAGCAATGTTACTTCTTTATGTATTCCAGTCACAATTTTATTGACCCATAAAATTTGGACCAGATTGTGTCTAAAACTAGATCCAATTTGAATACCTGGCTAAGTGCCCTGGGCTTATGTTTTTAAAAAGGAATCTGCATTTGAATATACCTCCTACAGGGACTCAAATACAAAATGAGCTGGAGGGAATAGCATGCCTAAGTGGTGAGCCTCAAGCAAGCAGCTCCGCAGGTAAACCTGCTTGGAGGAGTAGATGGTATAATCTTCCTCCGTTCAATGGAACGCTCCTTTCCCTTTGTTCTCACGAAGTTTTGACTTTTGCTGTGCGCATAGTACTGTTCCGGCCACCCTTGGACATGGGTGTCATCAAAGACGGACATCTGCACTTTTGATAATAACTCCTCTTTAAATGTAAGTGATTTTTCTCTTTTGGTCATTTTGAATTGAGATGAGTGTGTGTTCAAGTAGCTTGTTATGGCCTCTTTGAAGATTGTCAGTATTTTAGTTAGTTATGACTTGTTCAACTTTTTCTCGGTTCTTTCTTCTGACTCTTTCACTGTACTGATTTTTGAAGATGGCTGTATTTGGTGTTGAAATTAAGAGTCATAATCACCAACACTAAAAAACAAGTTCCACTCTAATAGGTAAAATCTCAAAAAAAAAAAAAAGTATTTTAATAGCTATCATGAACGTTCCCAACTTTTCTTTATGGGTAAAGAAATAAAACTTTAGCCCATAATTTCATTATTTTTCAATAAACCAAAGAAGGTGCCTTAATCATTTTACACACATTTCAGTACATACAAACTTATATACTTATGGTTCTGTGGATTCCTTCTTGAATTTGAGGATGTAAAGTAGATTGAATTATTTAGTGAGCAAGAGAAATATTCCTGGTTCCCGTTTATGGAAACTCTTACTCTAGGGAAGTGACACTGAGCCTTGGAGAGCTTTCAGCCCTAGTGAACAGCCCCCTGGGGTGCATGTGCCCTAGATTTGCCACCAGTGCTCTTGAGCATAATTTGTCTCAAGGGTGTAATCTTTCTAATTATTTCTCTTTTTTTGAAAATTCTCCTTAGTTTCAATTTCATTGTGTATGAAATAAACTTTTAAACTTGAATTATATTCAAAAGAAAAGTATGCCTTTTGACAGTCATGTGTTAAGAAAAAAATGCTCTTTTGGAAAAAAGAAGCAATAAAGCAAAGAAAAAGATAAAGCATTGTTACAACAAATGTGTTGTGAGTTGGGACACTGAAAGAAAATGATAATCATTCTCAAAGTCAGAGATCAGTGTTGAACTGTGTATTTTCAGTCAATTTCATAGTTAAAGGGGAATTGTCATTGCATATTTTGTTCAGGCTGCAATAAGATTCTTAGATCAAGATATAAAAAATATGATAGTTCTTCCAAAATATTCCTCCTTAATATATGTTGTTCAAGAGCCCTTTTAAACTCTAATTTTATCTAGTTCTATGAAAGGAAAAATGAAATAATTGAGGTTCTAGACAGCTGAAGTTATTTTGTTTTCCATCTGGTCAAGGCAGTAGTTTTAATTTATTTTTTAAATCAATGTGAATATTAAACAGTATAATAATTACATGTTGTATAATACTTATTACATTTAAGTTTATGTAATATATAACTACTACTACATAAAGTAATATGCAATGTTAGACAATATGTTGAAAACTTACTGAGCTAGGGAAACAGAGGGGTAAAACATGATCACAAATGCTAGATTCAATTAGTTGGTACTGCCTTGTCTTGTACAAGTAAAAGAATTGCTCAGATTATTAAATAACTCTCAAAGTTGAGAGAGGAATATGATTAGCCAATAGTATAGGGAATCTTTTTGATGCCTAAGCAAGTCTGCACTGTGTAAGGTCCTGGGAAATTAACTATATCTGTGCTATTTAAATATGAAGTCATGGCAATAAATCAACATTAAAAGAGGAATAACATTGTGCTTCATAGAACTCTCTGAAGTGTCCATTATAATTTGTTTTGAAAGGATCATTTAAAACCAGGGCTGTGCCAGGTGTGGAGATTCATGTCTGAAATCTCAGCACTTGAGAGGCTGAGGCAGCAGTATTATCACAAACTGGAGGCCAGTCTGGGCTATGTAATTAGAACAGCAAGACCTTGTCTCAATAAACAAACAAACAAATAAACACAAAGCAGACAGGGCTCTGAGTGATTGATTACAAGTATCATCATTCTAACCATAGAGCGATGCATGGATTTCATCAGGCTGAATGAAAATGAAGCTTTTTGTTCTATAGCTTTTTCTTCTTCAAACAAAAGGAGCATTTGCTTTCACTCCCCTTTTGTTTAATTAGTATGAAATTCCCTACTCAACTGGAACAGACTTTGGAATTTCGACAAAAAAGAATACCTTTGTTTCTGAGTATCTGAAAGGATTTGAGGTTGAGTCCAAACAAAAACAGCCAAAACTCCTAAATCATGCTGGATAGCAACTTAATGTTTCCTACATTCATGCTGAGAGAAGAAAGAGCATGAGAAATTCTTAGGCCCCATAGGCAGTAGAAATAGGAACAGTTGAAAATAGGGGCACATGTGCTTCTATTACCCAGTAGTTGATGCAGTGTTTAGAGTTAAGTTGGCTTATCTTTTTCACCTTCCATCTCCACTTTGTCTAGAGCAGTGGTTCAGTAGTTTCTGGGTTGGCAGCCATATCACTCACTGCTAAAACTGACAGTAGGTCAAATTCCTTTGACATATGAGTCAGTTTCCACAGCCACACCACTTGCCCCAATCTCTTGACTTGAGTCAAGAGTTTCATAGCCGCCACTTCTCCATTGAGTTGGTCATGTCTATCTCTGAACACTAGATTGGCACAAGCCCCTTTGCCTATGTTGCTTCCCTTGATCCTTATTGTTGTGTTTTGGAGTTGGGAAGGGTCATACATTACCTCTGATTTTATCCCTTAGGATGCAGAGCACATTCTCTCCCCATTTGATGCACTGTTTTGAATGTATTACTGAACACTCCCACTCAGACTGACAAACAGTGCAAGCATGAATGATTCAGCCAAACTTGTTACCTGGCACCTGGCACTGGTTATCTGCCGACTAGTATTTCCCAACTTGTAAGTGCATCACAGCTTCTGGTATGCCAGGGAGACGCCTTGGGTGTGTCACAGTCCAGGGTTGACTATTTTTGCAGCTTCCTGTTTCTCATCTCTCTAGTTTCTAACTGTCACTGCAACCATATCTCACTCTCCAGCCTGATGTCAAAAGCAGAAATTCAGAAGTGCCTAACCAGAAATCCTCAGCAGCAGGTGACACTCACCTAAAACTAGGTAAGATGGAGATTTCCTACAACTTGGAGGCACAGGGGAGTTTCAGTCAGGTACAAGGCTGTCTGTATGCCCAGCCTAGGCTAGTCATCTGTGGATTCTTTCACTTGGAGCAACTCTTAAATATCTCTAAGCTTGCCTTTCCTTGATAAAATGGAAGGGTATGTTAGTGCCAACTTCATGGAATTTTTCTAGGTTTAAATAATACATATGGAACCATGAGGAATATGCCTAGCAGAAAGGATCCACTTAATAGAGGCTATCGCTACTTTCAAAAATCTTATGTTATATAACACTTTCAGATAGAAAATCAACTTTAACTAGATGTCAAATGAGTGAGAGTTTGTCTAGCTTCAAAAGTAAATATTTTTCAAGGCAGACATAAATAACTTCGTTGCACTAAAGGCTCTCTGATGTTAGCCTCTTGTTCATCCTTAGAATAAGAAAAATAGTGAAAGTTATTTAGAGATAAAACTATTTTTAAAAAACTCACCAGTCCGAAATCTTGTTTGCAGTGAGGTCCGTTGACTGCAGCAACCTTCAGGTGGTGAATGAGCTTGCTCTGCTCTCACCCTTCTGGTCTGCCTTGAAAGAGACAAGGGCTTAAAACGTGGTAAGGGAGTGACTCTGAACGTTGAAACACGTAAGATTTGCCTTGGGATGTTCACATGGAAACCGTCACGTCACTTAAAGTAGTTGTAAGCCTGTCAGCCTGGCTGAAGCTTCATGTGTTCACTGTTTTTGTAGCTTTGTGAGATCCAGACTAACTTTCATTTGCTGTGGTGTGGACTCTTGTGCTCTGAATCTTTACATACTCATGCAACTCACCAATGAACAAAGACTTAAAATAAGTAAAAACCTGTGAGCAAAATAAAATTTTCAAAAAACCTCTGTACTACATTGAATGCATCCCACTAGAATAACTGCGTGAAGTCAGAACAGTTTCTTCATGTAAGAGAAGATTAAGAGTGATGGGGATGAGTTTACTATGTTGGTTCTCTTCTATCCATTATCACCTTTCTCAGAGTGTCATTCAAGTTTTTGTAAGGACATTGTTTTCATCTCACTATTCAGCATTGTTGGCTAAAATTAACCTGTGAATATTGAATTTTTTTGTTAGGTGTGCCTACCATGTGGCTGTTTTTAACAATAGTTCATTTGATTTGTGGAAGTTTAAGTGCTAATGGATTCATGGATTTGGAAAACAAAATAAATCCTGAAGTGTGGATGAATGCTGTAAGTCAAGGAAAATTCCAGAGAGCACCAAGTATAGCAGTGTTAATGGGGGATAGGATTATAAAAGAAAATATCTGAAAAGATACATTTTTAAAAACATCTTCATAAGAATTAAGCTAAATAGGCCTGCTCTTCTGTCTGAATAATATATTCTAGAATCAAAAACTATTTTAATATATACATATGTGTATATGTATATGTATATATATACATATAATATATATGTCAATTACTATTTCAATTTGCACTTTAAAAGTATTAATCCTACAAGGACCTCACAAGATGAGTGACTTAAAAACACAGCTTTAGAAGAAGAACAGGTCAAAGCTAAACATTCTGGGGCTGTGGAGATAGCTCAGCGGTCTAAGCACCTGCCGACACTGACCCAGGGGCTCTGAGCCAGCTGAGACTGGTATGGTGGTGCAGGCCTGTAATCCCAGCACTGGGGAGGCTGAAACAGAAGGATCACTGTGAGTTTGAGCTGCATAGTGAGATCCTGTACAAAAAAAAAAAAAAAAAAAAGAAAAAAAAAGAAAACTAAACATTCTCTCTCCTAACCAAACAAAATAGCAATAGTATATATTTCTAACATTCTATTATGTTAAATTAAGGCATTATACAGTAAAGTGATTTTATAGTCTAGTGTTCTAGATATTCTGCAGTTCAACCCAGTAGGCTCACACAGGTGCTCTGTTTTTGCCCCATTTGCTAGCCTTCAAGGAGTTTCTTATAGCACTGTGCTTTCCCTGGACAGAGTGAAATCATCACATACAATGGCTACCCCAGCGAAGAGCATGAAGTCATCACTGAAGATGGGTACATACTTTCCATCAACAGGATTCCCTATGGGAGAAAATGTACTAGGTCCACAGGTACGGATGTACCTCTGAGGAGGCCAGTGTGGAACTGAAGCTTAATACCAGCTACTAGTGATCACTTTGCCAAAATTGTTTGAGTTACTGGAGTGCTCTTTATTTTTTTTAATTATTTTTTTTATTTTTTAAAAAGAATACAAAAGGGGCTGGGGAGATGGTTCAGTAGAATAAAAGCTTGCCTGGCAAATGCAAGGGCCTGAGTTCAGTCCCCAGTTCTGCCAAAATAAATAAATAGATAAACAAACAAACAAATAAATAAACTTTAAAAAAGAATACAAAGAATAATTTATTTATTTATTTATTTTGCAAAGAATAATTTAAAAAAATTAGAAACAATATAGAATTTCACTAAACAAGATGATAGGGATTCAATAATGGTTGTTATATTGAATATTGTTGCCTTCAAATTAGTTGTTCAGATTACCACATGTATAAGCCTGCAAGATTGATCAAAATATATAAAAAATTAAAAAGGAGAAAAGATATTCAAGCATTAAATGCTCCTTTCAGTGGACCCACAGAAATCAGGAGTGTCATTATCCAACCTATCCCATATACTTTTTCTTTCTTTCTTTCTTTCTTTCTTTCTTTCTTTCTTTCTTTCTTTCTTTCTTTCTTTCTCTTTCTTTCTTTCTTTCTTTCTTTCTTTCTTTCTTTCTTTCCTTCTTCCTTCCTTCCTTCCTTCCTTCCTTCCTTCCTTCCTTCCTTCCTTTTTTTCTCCTTTCCCTCATCTAAGTTGTTCCTTCCCTTGGAACAGTTTCTTTCCCTTTCACAGTATCCATTGAACCTTTCAGACCTATTTACTCTTTCAGGTTCTTACACTAGGGAGACAATATGATGCTAACTGATATGTACTGGCTTGTCTTTGTCATGTTGTTTTCCTGTTATAAGTTTCCTACTTTTCCCTTCTGTTTAATTGTTTGCTCTGCTTGATGTTTCCTTTCCATTGTTGTTCTTGAAGTTGTGATCATTTTTGTTTCTTTCTAGAATATCTATCAGTACTCTTTGTAGGGTTGGTTTGGTGGTCATGAATTTCTTCAGTTGTCCTTTGTCAAGAAAGTATCTTATTTCTCCATTAAATTTGACAGATAGTTTTTCAGGGTACATCAATCTAGGTGGGAAGCTATTTTCTTTCAGGACCTGGAATACTTCACTCCAAGCTCTCTTTGAATGGCTAATGAGGAAGATATTTTTTCCCTCCAGCTCACTGATGACAGACAAGAATGTAAAAATACAGACAGCAAGCCAGATCTTGCTGAGCAGGTAGGACTGTTTGTTAGGATGCAAGTGCTAAGGTACAACCCACATCTTGATAGTTACTGACTTCTCATATGCTTCAGGAAAATGAATTTCCTCACTGTTTAGGTAGAGATTGACTGGGCTGACTGAAGTTAATTCTAGTGAAGTTAATACAAGTCCCTGTTTGTATCTTGTTAGCAAGAAGTTAATTCTAGTGGGGTGCTCCCCAAAACCTCCTGTGTTCTTACTAAAATCAGGGGGCCTTCCTCTCCAGAATAAAAAAAAAAATCAAGTTAAGTGGTAGTGATCCCTCTGAAACTGCACAACCTCTGAGGAGGGAAAGAAGAGCAAGCAAAATCTCTGCAAAATCTTACAGGCAAATGTGTGTTTGTTGCCTTTTACCATGTGGCTTCTGTACTGTTTCTTCCAGGGTCCATATTCACCGACAGCTACAATCATGTTACTTAATATTCTTTCCCTCAAAGAGCTTTGTAATTAAAGAGTTTCAGAACAAAAAAATGTGAGATGTGAATAGTGCTACCAGGTAAAATATGGAATTCTTAGAGTTGAGGGTCAAATAAGCCACAAAAATTTTAATAGATGTTCTATTTTAGGATATACTTATAAAAAATTATCCACTGTCATCTTAATTTCAAGTTTTACAGGGCATCTTCAATCTCTTGTTTGTATTTTGTTATTCTGTGTCTTGCTAACTTTGGCAATATGAGACTTGGGGGGCAAGGGAATATGAAACTGAAAGGAGGAAAATGTTGCTGAAGAAGAGAGAATTTTGGAAAGCATGGCAATTGAAACCGTCTGTTAGCTGTATTGTTCTAAAATCATTAAATCAGTTAAAACTCCCAGAAACCCTGTCATCAATTTACACATGATAAATCATAATAATTGTAGTAATACTCTGAGGCACAGGAAATTTTGTAATTAATCCCAGAGTCACATAAATAATAAGTGACAGAACCAGAACTCAGACAGAGTTTTAACTCAGACAGCCCAATTCTTATCCATTAAATTATGGTGTCTTTTCTGTATCTTTAATTCTGGTTCTTTTTGTCTCACCAAATGCTCTTTCCCTCATGAATGTGGTAGTTGGCAGAGGTATGTTGAGATGATTCTACTACTGTCATTTTCAAATGCTTGACAGTGAGCAGAGGCTCAAGATTTGGAAGAGTTCTTGGTGAGGAGCTTATCAATGGTTATTTCTATTCCCTTTTCCTGCTTGTGGAAGAGATATAGGCCTTTAGTAAGCATGATAAATTTTGCATTATAGATCGTGTGTGTACGCAGATGCTACTGGACTTAGGAGTTACAACTTAAGAAACTCAACATAAATTGAAATATCATAGGAAAAATGCATTGAACATACCTAGCTTATCACAGTGTACTGTGGACTATGGGTTTCTCACCTTTCTGATCATCTCGCCGGCTGGGCAATGAAGCTCACTGCTGCTGCTGCTGCTGCCCAGCACCTCAAGATATTATTGTCGCATACCACTAACCTGGGAAAAGATAAAAAATTTCAAATTTGACATATGATATAGAGTGGATCCATACTTTGTATTATGATAAAGTTGAAAAGCCTTAAATTGTTAAGTCAGTGACCATCTGTCGATGAATATGTGCAACGAAGCAGGTAAGCACATGCTTTGGCCTGAGACAGAGCCAGGTTGGAGTCTCTGTTTGTATCTTGTTAGCAAGGTCACCCCTGGGGAAAGTTACTTCAGTTCGCTGAGTCTTGTTTCCACATCTATAAAATGATCCTGAAAACAGCAGCTACTTTTAAAGTTGTTGTAAGAACTTAATAATCTACTTTGTGGAATTCAGCCATTATATTCTTAGGTACAATGTATTTGGTCAAGATGCTGAATTTAAGTGATTACAATGCTCTACACTAATGACAAAGGGAAAACTGTCTTGTTGCTCACCACAATTGTGTGCCATGTGTTTATAATGTGTTTTAAAACTCTAATTATCATGCATTTCTCTCACCTTTCTCCCCACACTCCACCCAGGTCCCCGGCCAGTTGTGTACCTGCAGCATGCACTGTTTGCAGATAATTCATACTGGCTTGAGAATTTTGCCAATGGAAGCCTTGGGTTCCTCCTAGCAGATGCAGGTTACGACGTATGGATGGGGAACAGTCGGGGAAATACTTGGTCGAGAAGACACAAAACACTCTCGGTGAATGAAGATAAATTCTGGGCCTTTAGGTAAACTGTATCTAAGAAAAATCAAGAGTAGAGATAGTTTTTTAAAAATATAATAGTGTAGATTACATTAATTCAACAGTCTGTAATACATGCAATCATAAAGTTCCTTGTAGTTTCTAGCAAAATGCTCAAGGAAAGAACCCACAATAAACTTTGATTTTCGCCAGTTCTCCCACAGATATATTATTTCATTTCAGTAAGATCATTTGAACATTCAATTCTGTTCAATTCTGTATATTATAAGTGGATCCAAGAGATAGCTCAGGAAATTCCTGTAACCAAGGTACTCTTTCACTGAACCAATGTTTACTCTGTCCTATGACTTGAGGATTCAATGGAGAGCATACCAAATGCTTGACCTCTTAGCTTCGTCATCCTAGTGATGCTTTTCCAAGTGTGTTCTCCTGAAGAACTAATTAATTTTGCAAGTATGATGTGCATCAGCACTGTTATTTAAAGAAATTGATGCTCAGATTGTACAGCATATAATGTTCAGGGAAACTCCAATGTGAGATGTTTTTAACCATTATTATTTTTTTTTCCGGAACCGGGGATTGAACTCAGGTCCTTGCGCTTGCCAGGATAGTGCTTTATTCCACTGAGCCATCTCCCCGGCCCAACCATTATTAACAGACAATGAATAAGAATTTTTTGATATATTGATGTTTCTTTTAATTGGAAATGCTTTCGGTTGACATCGAAGGACAGATCTCCATTGGTTTTTCAAGCCACCAGTAGAATACAATGTGTATTTCTAACATATTAATGACATATGCAGCACATGCTGACAGGTTGAGAACAGAAAGGGGATAGAAGAGATTGCTAGCCTTGGAGCTCTGTGGTACAGGCAAGAGGCAGGGAATATTTTGTGTCAGTAGCTCTTGGCTGGCTGCTTGGAATGTGCTTACCTTAAGGCACCACAGTAATTCTCTTTTTCTTGATAACATTGATTTAGAGACTTTCGCATGCATGCTTTTTATTAAAACAGTGAATACATGTTTATGTGGACAGAAGCATTAACAGCAACATCTGACTAAGTGCTAAGGGAATCAAGTTATTTCATTCATACTCTCCTACCACTGTAACTTCCCATAATGTCCTCTTTATTTCTCAGATGAGGAAACCATTTTCAGAGCATTTAAGTGATTTATCAAGTGTTATTCAGCCGCTGAGTGGTAGGATCATAATGGATAATAGGCATATTTCCAAAGATAGTTATAAAACAATTGTGAATTTCATGTGAGATTCAGAAACAGAATCTTAGAAGTTAAATAGGGAAAGGGAAGGAAAAGAAAAGCAAGAAACGATAGTAAAGAGAGATATAGTAAGACATGATTCTTGTTTTTCAACAGATGGAAATATACTTAGAAATAAAGTGTAACCAATAAAAGGAAAAAAAAAAGAAGAGAAAAAAGACTGAACCTCAGACAGCATATGTATTCCTTGAAATAATTCCTGTTAGTAGGACAGAAACTGTGTAAATGCAAGGAGAAAAAAAATCTATATTTAATTGGGTAAATAATGAGATATATAGACAAAATAGGCAGCATGGAATGTTGTGTACAAAAACAAATGAACAAGAGTATTGTTTGGACTCATAGTTCTAAGTATTTATAAGCCCTTGTTTTATTTTGCAGTTTTGATGAAATGGCTAAATATGATCTCACAGGAATAATAGATTTCATTGTCAATAAAACTGGTCAGGAGAAGCTATATTTCATTGGGCATTCACTTGGCACTACAATAGGTATGTTTGCAAGAGTCAATGCCATCAGTCTTACAAGGAGTGACTTTTAAATTGGAATGAAGTAAGTATTACGTATGATGCCAATTATCCTGTTTTGGGAACAAATCTAGTTCTCTAAGGGTTGTGTGTCTATAGCCCAGAAAGTGTGTGCAGGGTAACTCTTTCTCCATTTCAGGTCTTAGCTGCGAAGTGGGAATGATGATGCAATAGGGATAGCACATAGCCCAAATCCAGCTAAGTAATTTTAAAGAAGAAGTTTGTTAATTCCCACTGAGCTGAAAAAGCAATACTGACCACGACAAAATAGTCTCACCAAAAAGCAAATATGCATCAATTGTACTTTCCTCCCCATCTAAACTGAAATTGAGTTCAGTAAATAAGAGGGAGAGGCTTATAATTAATTCAAAAGAATAGACACATTTGCTTATAGGCTAAAAAGCAAAAACTTTGATAAATCAACTAGATTCATTTATTCACCATATAATTCAATATTTATGGGCTAACAATTACACATAAGCATTTATATAGAAATTTTAAAACTTTGAAGTTGTCTATCAGTAGAATAAGAGAAAGTTGGAGATTTTGGAATAGAAATAACTGGAAGAAGATTATCTTCGCAGAATAACTCCAAAACAGTTCCCAACACATCCCCCAAATTATTGCAATAGAAGAACAAAAAATGACAAAGCAGATCCCCACATTTGTTGGTAGAATTTTTGCCTAAGTATTTCTAGTTTTGCAAGATTGTTTTGTCTCCTATTCTTTCAGGGTTTATAGCTTTTTCCACCATTCCTGAACTGGCACAAAGAATCAAAATGAATTTTGCCTTGAGTCCTGTGGTCTCATTCAAATATCCCATGAGCATTTTTAGCAGTTTTTTTCTGCTTTCACAATCCACAATCAAGGTAAGCTCCTCTTTTTGTTAATAAGTACTTTAGGGTCTCATTTTTTATTATAGATCCTTATTATTTTAAAATCTATTATGAACTGAAAAAAGGAAATTTAGCTTTAACCTGGAGAAATCAAGACTATAAGCACAGTGCTCACTTTGGCAGCACATATACTAAAATTGGAGTGATACGAAGAAGATTAGCATGACTCCTGAGCAAGGTTGACACAAATTCGTGAAGCATTCCATATTTTTTTAAAAAAGACTATAAGCACACACTTGCAGATATGCATATATTCATGTGGGTACATGTCTGTTTCATAGTACCTACAGGTCTCAAATAAAATTCATGCTATTCAGTCACTTACAGAGCTGAGCACAGGTTAAAATTGTGAGGCAGAACTGACTGAAGAGGATCACTGAAGAGTATCCTCATGAATTTTTTTTTCCATTTAGTTGGTCAATGAATTCACAATGTCCAGTTGGAAGACACTCTTCAAGTATGTGTGAGAGAGATGTCCCTGGTTTTAATGTTAGATAAGCCTGACTAGGGGTTGGAGAGATGACTCAGTAGAATAAGCGCTTCCCTAGCAAGTGCAAGGGCCTGAGTTCAATCCCTGGTTCCACCAAATAAATAAATAAATAAATAAATAAGCCTAACTAAAAGGACTCTTTACCATTTAGGAACTTTCTTCAACTTATTAGAGGTATATTCCTAAGCTTAAATAATTTAAATCCCACATAGTCATTAACATAATTATTGATATACTTCAATAAATAGGAAAAGGGTAGAAAGTCAATTGACAATTATACATTTGGAATTTTATCCCAAAAGATTTTTTCTCTGTCTTTGTTTCTCTACGGTGATCATGCCCACAAAGAGCATCATATTTTACCAAGATTGCCTTTTGAATTTAGAGCAATAGAAAAAATAGATTTGGGCTTATTAGTCAAGGCTGCCAGTCAGAATGTCTTAGTAATTCATATATAAGAAGACAAGAAAAAAAAAAGAAGAAGAAGACAAGGCCTTGGTTTGGGATAGAGTAGTAGGAGTAGAAAGAAAATATTAAAGAGCCAATGCAAAAAGAATTTCTGTAAGGCCTAATAATTGGTTTGATGACTTTATTGCATTGTTTACTCTAAACAAAAATGATACAACTTTCCTTTTATATCGTTGACAGTTCCGTTGTGTTGGTGTCAGTTAATTTTGAATGTTGTCTACCTCTGGGTGAACAAATTTGTTAAATGTAATTGATGGGAAGTCACATTTATATGTTGATACACTAGTTTTGCACACACTTTGCTTTTCTAACATAGGTCAGATAAGAGCTATGTAATCCTCCTGCTTATCTCAATTCACATTCTCTACTTTCAAAATTGCTGCCACGTTAGATCTCATTCATGGTTGACCATTGTCATTGATTGCTCCTCCAGGAGCTCTAAGACCCAATAGAAAGTCTACACATGCTTCTTTTCCCAAGACCTAGAAGCTTAAACCATGCTACCTTCGCAGCATTGTCGTATCTGTGGTGTTCGATGCCATCCTTTCTGTAGTGTCCCCTCCCCCACTTTCATGGTGAAAATTGGCTAATCTGTGGCAGTTCCAGAAAGCCAGTGTGCACGTAGGCAATATGGAACAACATGTCTTTTCCTTCATAGTCCAGACAATATGTTACTTTAATAAGAAAAACTATTTCATTTTGCTTATCAATAAATGAGAAGTAGTGGTCATCATTAATTGGACAAAACACAAGAATGGAAAATTGAATTCAAGATTAAAGACTCTTTACTATAGTCTCTTCATAAATAATATTTGATCAACTTTTTTTTCTTGGAAATGGATTCCTGAGACACTTGCTGGAGTGACTTTATCTCCTTGACTGAAACTATAAATGCAAATGCAAATGAATCCCTAAGCATCACTCATTTCTAGAATGAGCTATCAAGTCTGAAGATGAATCTTAAAAAAGTAATTACTTTTTACCTTTACAGGCTATATTTGGTACCAAAGGTTTCTTTTTAGAAGATAAAGATGCAAAGATATTTGTAATCAAACTCTGTAGCCACAAAGTATTCTGGGTGATATGTCGTGAATTTATGTCCTTATGGGCTGGATTCAACAAGAAAAATATGAATGTGGTATGTATAATAATTATAGAGTCATTTAATATGCAAGGAAATTATAGCTTTCCTTTAGTTCATTTTGTTCTATCCATTATATTATATAAATTTATATAGTATTTCAAACACTTAATGGTAGACACTTGCTGTGCAGAGAGGATAACATAGAATATCCCATGTATATGGAATTAGATATTCCATGAGTACCACAGCGAGGACCAGGAAAGGCAATTGAACCCTTCACTCCTTGATCCAAGTTAGGAACATAGATGCTTCGTAATGGCAGTAGGTTTTCTCATGTCCACAAAACAGTACATTAAAAATGGAGCCTTTAGAGAAGCCATACAGTGCAAGCATTCTACTTGTTTTTCATGTGCTTTCTTTTGTGAGTAGTTTGGCTTCAAATAAAATTCACATTTAACCTGGAAAATTTGGACAGAATGGAAAAGTGATGGATCCTCCTCTTACAGTTAGCTGTCCTACTTCATGAACTCTTGGTCTTGTTATTAAGAATTCATATACAAGATAGTTGAGAAGGTCATACAGCTAGTCACTCTTAGTTCATTAAAAAGCAAGTTGTGTGCTAATATTGTGCAGGCCAGATATCATGCATATATTGCCTTCTCTGAATAAGTACTGGAAAGGAAGATAATAATACACAACCTAGCGATTATTGTAACTGTCCTAATAATCTGTTTTAAAGCTCTGTTTCATTGTTATGTTTATCTTTTTTGAAAAGAAAAGAACTTGGATCTTGGATGAAGGAAAGGAGAAAAGAAGGAAGAAAATTTGAAATTTTTTATTTTTTAAAGAGAGTAAAAAGAAATATTAAAACAGCAAAATTATAAGTGATGCTGAATTTCATTTAACAAAATAATGTGAATTTCACAGTATTTGTTGTAATGCATAGTGTTGTTTTCCAATTAATTTTTTATATCACTAGACATATGCATGCATAATTGGAAGAAAAAAGAAAAAAAGAAATATATAAGAAATTAAGAAGAGAAAAAGGCCAAACATTTGAAAAAAAAAGGAGAAAAACAAATTAAGCATTAACTGCTTCTTTCCATAGACTGGCAGAAATGCACAGTACAGTTGTCCAAACCATCCTGCTTACATACATAGATCCATCTCTTTCCCTCACTCCCTCTTCTGTCCTTCTCAACTGAGTAATTCCTTCCTTTTGAATAGGTTCACTCCTTTTTTCCAGTCTTGTGTTCTTATATTTGGTAATCTGAACAACTACACTGAAGATGGCAATAAGTAACAAACAACCATTGCTAATTTTCTATCATCCTGTTTTGAAATTCTGTATCATCTTTATTGCTTTTTTGTTGTTTTGTTTTTATCTTTGTTGTTGTTGTTGTTTTTTGTTTTCTTTTTCTCTTTTTTCTGTATTTTAGGGAAGGGTCTACAGGATGTTCAGGGTCTCACTACTAGATTGGACTCGTAGTGACTTTCCTGTTTACAGCCTCCCAAGTGCTGGGATTACAGGCACACATAACACCATGCCCAGTCTCAATCATTGTCTGAGTGTGCCCCAGGGGCAGGCCCCGCACAGCAGACCTGGGGATCAAATCCCAGCCCCTGCACATTGCTTGCAGGTGCTCTAATCTGCTGAGCTATTTCACTGGTGCTCCTTTTCTTTTTAAAATAAAAAAATAGAAAAAGAGAAAATTTAGGAAGGAGGAGGGGAAGAGAAGGAGTCTCTCCTTCAGTGGAGGAGCAGTCAGAATTTACATCCTGAGACTGTTGCTGTTGGATAGCTATCATTGCTGTGTTCTACCCGGAGCCAGTGCGACTATGACAGTGAGTGCAGTCCCAAGATAGCTGTCCCCTGCCAGCCGCCATGCTTCAAGAAGCTAACCTGTGTTAGAAACACATGGGGAATCATTTCTCAAAACCTGTTTGTTCAGAAGAAATAGTTTCCCTTGGTTAGGTTTATTATATTCTAAGACATCTAATTATGATTACTGTTTGATTTCTAATTTTCATCTCTATGATGTTTACAAAGATCAAAGTTATCTTTGGAAGAAATTGGTTTTCAGCTTTACTAATGCAATAGTTTATTCTATCTCACCAGAGCCCAGCAAGTTGTTAGTACAGATTTTAATCTATTCATGTAACTGGTGAAAAAATAGAAACTAAGTGATGTTGGATAAATTGATCAAAGTCATAAAGCTGGTGATTCACAGGGCCTGAAATCTAGGTTTTCCGATCTATTAATATGTGTTCACGTCCCCAGGACTCCCACCACCACCACCCTGCACTTGAACAAAGCACTTTTCTTAGTTGCTTTGCTCCATGGTGTCTACCACAGCTGCTACTACAGCAAAATAAGTGAATGTCCCCGCAGATTCTGAGCTGTGCTCCCAGCGGCCCGACTACCTAGTCAGTGAGGCGCACTCACCTCAGGGTCTGACATAGGCTCGTATTTGCCTAGATGGTTCTGCTTTGTTATTTTCAGAGCACCAGCAGTCATGAATTCTTTGCATACGTGTTCTCTGCTTCTGAAAGGTATGATTTTTTTCCACTGGGTGATCGTTGCTATAACATGAGTCTAATGTCGTTTAGAGTCGAATGGATGTGTATATGTCACACGCTCCCACCGGATCATCAGTACAGAACATTCTGCATATAAAACAGGTAAAGTTTTTGTTATGGGAAATCACTCCAATCCTTACATATGAAAGGACAGCATCGATTAACAGGCATACACCGAGAAGCCTAACCGTTTGCTTCTAGTTTGTGCTTGTTGCCAACTTCATGCCTTGATTTTCCTAGCTTTTAGGGAAAAAAATGTTTTATGGTGCAGAAAAAGATGAAATAAATAGCGCCCTTTTGGAATCAGGGCCTGTAGAATGCATCCTGAGCCAAAGCAAGAAATAAATTGGAGGAGCTCTAGTCAACCTGGGTCTTCCCAGAGAAAGATATCTGGCCTTTGACTTTCCTCTAACAGAGTCTTGCTTTTCCATTAGCTTTTCCTTTGAAGCAAACGTCTATCTCTTTGGAAAACCATTTCTTCACAGTAGCAAGAAAGTACTTGCATCCATCTAGTGATCCAGAGGCCTAATTTTATCCCCAGTGCAGTGTTTTCCTAAGACTCATTGTTATCATTTGTGAGTGTTACACTGGATCTTCTTTTCCTAAAACATTTATTCCAGCTTTACCAATCTGATGAATTCAGAGCCTACGACTGGGGAAGTGAAGCTGAGAACATGCAGCACTACAATAAGGTGAGATACGCAGCGTGACCAAGGAGTGGCTCTCTAGAGAGATCACTGATTCATTTCTGTTAGTACAAGTTTACAGTACACAGTGATTGCACTCAGCGTGGGCCGCTGGTAGGGGCGCATAACACGTCTCCATTCCCCTTCCTCCCCCTCTCTCACACCCCTCTTCACCTCTAGATCCCATTTCCATTTGCAAAACAGAACTTGAGTGAGAAATTATTGTTGGCTGACAAGACCCCTACCTGCTAATCGGTGGCATTTGCACTGATACAGCTTGTTTTTTTTTTAAAGAAAAATCTAATTCTGATTTGTGTTCATTCAATATTTTAGACAAAAAAAGAATAAATACAAAATAAGTTAATCATTTGTAATCCCTGCACCCAGAGAAAACTAAATGTATTAATACTTTCATTATTTTTTCTATGTGTCGCAGCATCATGTTGCTGCTCTATGTAATTTTTAATCATTAGAAAGTTGTCAGCATTCAAGAGCTGGTTGGAAGGCATCTTTTCCTAATGTTCTCATCAAACATTGCCAATCCAGGGGCCAGAGAGATAGCTCAGTGGCATAAGCGCCTGCCTCGCAAGCACAAGGTCCTGAGTTTGATCCCCGGTACAGCGGGGGGAGGGGAGTATAATTAGCACTGTAGCTTCAGGCCTTCCTCTTGTCCTTTTCTGTCCTTGAAGTCAGGGAGTCAGCCTCTGAGTATGAGTTAAGCACACTCAATTTTTCCAGGGTTTTCCTGAATAACTTTTTAAAGGGTACTTATTAGTGTAAATACAAATCAATGAAGTTATTTCTGATTATGAAAATCACCAATCAGACCAGCAAGGTTTTCAACAAGAAATCAGATTGTTGGAGTGATTCTGCTAGCACTTTAAAATGCCTACAAGGCATAAATATGTTCCTATTTTTAAAGCAGTTTTATTACAATGTAATTTATAGAATAAAATTTGATGATGTTTTATTTGCAATTGAATGAGTTTTGACAATTATATTGTTTGCATAACTGAAATATGAAACATTCTCATTACTTTCCAGAGTTTTCTCCTGCCTCTTAGAAATTCATATTTTAATAAATGCTTAGAAAAGTTCTAAAAAAAAGTTCACTTCATGGAGAGGAAGAAGGGGAAGGGAAGCAAATGAGCACAAAGGAGTAAAAGACTCTTACCTTGAACTTTGTATTCAATAATTCTGTTTTCTTCCATTAATCTTAATAAACATATTTGCTTATTGTGTTCGAGATAATAGAATAACACATACACACATACAAGCCTATACAGCCAGGTGTTTTTTTGTTTGTTTTTCTTTCCTTTTTGTAATGTGTTTGGTACAGGGTCTTACTACACAGTTCTGACTCATAGTGGTCCTCCTGTTTTCAGCTTCCCCTGCATTGGGATTACAGGCATGCATCACCATGCCCAGACTTGGTGGCTGGCTCAGTGTACCCAGAGGTGGGACCAGCATGGCATGTGGTGCCGGGAATAGAAACCCGGTCCCTGTGTTTGCCTAAGCAGGCGCTTAGTCTGCTGAGCTATCTCACCAGCTCTGCAACCAGGTTTTAAAGTCTATAAAAATATCAGTATCCTTAGAATTTTTCACCATTTATCTGTTCTTCCCTTGCTATAGGCCAGTTCTATTGTGTTTGTGATTTTAGTTCATTTGAATTCAATTTTATTACAGTTTTCTAGAGCAACTAGTCTCAAGAGTTTTCTTTCTCTTTAAGTCCCTAGCAGCATCTCACTGTGCATTCTGCGTCTTTCTTCCTTGGATAATTTACCCATCCCTATAGTTTTAATATGGACCAACCCTTCTCAGTATCATAGAGTTTTTTAGGTTCTACTTTCAACCTCCCCCTCCATCCAGTCACTTCACTAACTGGTGCTTTACTGTATCTGAGAAGTGGCTTCCTTGTCTCCAGATTTTCTGAAAGTTGTTCAAACTCCTCAGCTCTACACTCAGACCTGGAAAGTCAGCCTCTCGCCCTACATCCTACAGTATTCTCTTATAAATTTTGTTCACCAGGTACATTAGGAAGTTTGCCATTCCTGATTATGACCTGCACACTTTTCCTATCTGCTGAGAAGCCCTTCCCACTTCCATCTCTGCCTGTCAAACTTCAACCACCTCCAGGTCATTTCAAATGACTCCTTTTGATGAAGCCTCCAGTTAAAAATAATTTCTCCTTCTCCTCCATTCATGTTGTATTTTGAGAGCTTTATGGCTCTCAACATGAACTACTTTGTATATAAATGTTTGTTTAGAGATCTTGATTTTGTTTACTACTTTGAAAACTCCATAAAGACAGGGTCCACCTCACATTTTCTTCTTCTGTCCCTTGATTCCTAGCCTTGCAGCCATAATAGACATTCATTTCAGTCTTTCACTGTATTTGAATTCCATGTTGCCATTGGAGCTTCTTCTCCTGAATGTCCTTCTTTCTCCCACGCAGAGTCAACCTCCAGTATATGACCTGACTGCCCTGAAGGTGCCCACTGCTGTTTGGGCTGGTGGAAAAGACTTGCTCATAACACCCCAGGATGTGGTCAGGATCCTCCCTCAGATTGGAAATCTCTGTTACTTCCAAATGTTGCCAGATTGGAACCATTTTGATTTTGTCTGGGGCCTGGATGCCCCTCAACGTTTGTATCATAAAATTATAGCTTTAATGAAGGACTATTGTTAAATGTAGTCAAAATGTACTTTTCAGTCAAAATTTCCTTTCAAGTGCACAAGAAGCTTTAAGGAAAACACCAGCGAACAATGATATTGACCCTAGCACCCTTCTTGCTGTTACTAAGACATTTTCTTACCTCAGCATCTCAACTAGGGATTATTTGAACACTGTTTCTCTTCTATGAAACGTCTGAAGCCGAAATCTGAGAGTATTATCCTCTTAGTCAGGGCTGGAGCCTATTTTAATCCCAGATTTAGTAATTACTCTGTTAAATTCACAGTTGAACGAGCAGTTAATGATTTTTCCCTCTGTGAAATATATAATACCCACTCCCTCCCCTTCCCATTTTGCAAGGGACTGACTGTCAGCCCAGGAATGCTGGGCTAGAGAGAAACTCCTGGCAAGGTGGACATTTAGGAAACACGTTTTGTGTGGCTGTGACCTTGTGGCATGTTTGGAATGACAACTAGTCCAGCAGTCATTACAGGAGTCATCTACTATCACGCCATGAAGTAAACCTTGACCCACATCAAGTCACCTGAGACAAAACAGTAGCATGGGAAAATAATACAATTTATGTTTTCCAGGAAATTGTTGTACTGTTATGGGCAAGGTGAATTACTAATTGACTAAAATTATTCATTTGTTTATCCTAAGCTCCTGACTTTGAAGCTCAGTTGACACTACTGTTGGATAATAGTGTACTACAGGTTACCAACAGAAGATAAGCCTCAGCATATAAGGAACGATTTCCCTCATTTTTTGGGAAATGAGACTGACCAGCTGCCGTATCCTCCTCATTAAAGTGGATTTTAGGCTGCTGTGTTGCACTCACATAGCATCTAAAGCACCTCCCGGAGGTCTTGGAATAAGTGAAGAAAGTATGAGGAATGGCTGGGCGCAGTTCTCCAAAGATGAGACATCAATTCTAGGATCAGTACAGAGTTCAAGAACAACATGAAATTCTACTGCTAGTTCTTATGTTCTTGGATAATGTGAACTTGAAAGAGTCCTTTACCTTCTATGAAGATATAATTAATAAAAACAATCATTAATGATCCACAGGGAATCATTTAAAAAATACACATCAGTACCTTTGCTAGTTTATTTTGACTTAAACAGGTAAATGTAAATTAGCACAAATATTTGCACATAGAACCAAGATCTCCTGATGTTGAATGCCACATGTTCACTCCTCAATAAAGAGCCCACAACTCATCATTTGTAATTTTTAGTTTCAGTGTCCTTAAAACAGATGGGATATAAACATATATGAGAATCAGCTTAAACACAAATCATTTTATATTCTTTTAGAATTTGTATTAGTAAAATCAACTCTATCACTAGTTTTAGTGACTTAACTGAATTTTTCAAAGAGTATAGACAGAACATATGCACACCCGTAATCCCAGCACTCTGGGAGACGGAGGCAGGAGGACTGTGAGTCTGAGCATAGCCTTCATCATTTAGTGAGATCTGGTCTCAATATTATAAGAAAATTAATTAATTAATTAAAAAGTTTAAAATAAAGAGTATGAAAATTTTTTATAAAGCAGTATATTCCTATTTCATCAACTTAGACAAAATTAATGTAATCATTAAACTGGTACAATAAATAAAACTGTCTTAAATAGTTTTAAGAACCCTCAGTAAACGTATGGTCGGGGGAAGAAGTACAGAGGAATGTCTGTACTAACTTAGCCTGCTGATAGCGCAGCACGGTTAATGGACACTGCACATTAGTTTATATGTTTTACAAAAATATAGAAGATTATTATTGGCTGATCTTGGAATCTGGTTAAATTGAAGTTAGTTAAGAGACGTCTTACTGCAATGATGCTCTGGAGCAAGCACCCACGGACCACTTACTGGCTCACACCCTTCAGAGTGAGGTCCCCCGGGCTTGGCTCAAGGCCCTGGGTTAGGCCCAGGTCTGTCCTACAATTCCTTTCTTTCTAGAACCAGCAATAATCAGGATTGTGTTTTTCATATGACAGATTCTAAGAGCAGAGAGGGACAGCTAAACCATACCAGCATTTTTCAACCTCTGCACATTTGCATTCTTTAGACTAATAACAGTCATATGGCCAAGTAGGGAAGGCGCTAAATACTAAATAGAATAGCAACTTACTTTTTTTACCATAATTTATCACTTTGTTTGCAAAGACTTGTAGATATTCCCATGAAAAGATGATTCTAAACATAAATATAAATAAAAGACTACTGCTGCTTAGAAGATGAACTGGTTTTTGTTTTGTCTTGCTTTGTTTGTGAGACAAGGTGCCTCTTTGCAGCTCAGGTGAGCCTGGCCGCACGATGTGCCCAGGTCGGTCTTGAATTTGCAGTACAACTTCTGCTTCAGCCTCCCAGTGCTGGGATCATGGTAGGCACCATCACAGCAGCTTAGGAAATGAAGTGGAAGAATGAAGGTCTGGGGATGAATTTGTGAATCTGAGGTGAGCTAAATTCTTCCTTCTGTACTCTTCAGAAGACATGAGTCTTTTTTTTTTCTCTCTTTTTGTGGTACTGGGTATTGAACTCAGGGCCTTGCACTTGCCAGGCCCTACTCTTTTTTTTTGTGGTACTGGAGATCAAACTCAGGACCTTGCACTTGTCAGGCAGGCGTTTATGCCACTGAGGTATCTCCCCATCCCAGAAGAGATAATTCTTGAATAATTCAGAGCCAGATCCGTAATTCCTATTCTGCCTGGTAAATCTAGAAGGCAAACTGCTGGCTCCATAAGCCATTTTCCCCTCAAAATTAGCATGCAAGTCAGGAATGGGGGTGCATGCCTGTAATCCCAACACTTTGGAGGCTGAGACAGGAGGATTGCTGTTAGTTTGAGGCTAGATTGGGCTACAAAGTGAGTTCTATGTCCGCCTGAACTGCATGGAGAGATCTTGCCTCAAAACAAAAACCAACAAATAAACAAACAAAACACCAGCATTCATCTATTTCATACTATGCATTGAGGGAAAACCAAGATCTCTATGAAAACCATGCAATAATATGAAAAAGTTCCTATAATACAATACAATGTTTTATGAGAAGAAAATAAAATAGTAGAATTATGAATTTATCTATTTAAATATATTGAAACGATTATATGACTTGATAAAATATTTGTGTATGATGAAAATTGAAGCAATGTAAAAGTAGAGGGGCCAGCCAGATAGCTCAGTGGATTAAAGGGTCTGCTTAGGCAGATGCAGGGACCAGGGTTCGATCCCTGGCATGCCATGCTGGCCCCACCTCTGGGGCATGCTGAGACTGTGATTGAAACTGGGTGTGGTTATGCACATCTGTAATCCCAGTGCTTGGGAGGCTGTAAACAGGAGAAGCATTATGAGTCCAATTTATATAGTGAGGCCCTATAGGCCCTGTATTAAAAA